AGAGTAGAGGAAGGGGAACGGGGGAGAGAGAAGGGGAGGGAAAGGGGAAATACTGGGCAATGAAATGAAGTAAGTTGTATTCTATGCTTATATGATAGTGTCAAAATAAACCCCAATATTATGTATAACTAAATGAAGTAATAAAAATATTAAAAAGTAAATCCAGTAAGTACTTCCTTTATACCCAAAATTACATTGTCCCGATCATCCCTAGTCATCTGAAATAATCACCTAATGGACTATTAAAAATTACTAAACTGATGAAAACTCAGTGTTCCATTAGCCTAAGGTTTAGCACTGATTGTCTTGTGGTTCTTTCCTGCTGGTTCATAACCAAATGTCCCATATGAAATAATAACTGGTCCATCCATGAGAAATCCCTCTTCTGCCGGTCTCTCAAAGATTTTTTTTCCTTAGGGTACCAGGGATTGAACCCAGGGGCACTTGACCACTGAGCCACACCCCCAGCCCTATTTTGTATTTTAGAGACAGGGTCTCACTGCGTTGCTTAGTGCCTTGCTTTTGCTGGGATGGCTTTGAACTTGCGATTCTCCTGCCTCAGCCTCCCAAACTGCTGGGATTACAGGCATGCACCACTGAGCCCAGCCTCAAAAGATTTTAACTTCATAAATTCAGATGTCCTTGTTATGTTTTGGATGTGAGGTGTCCCCCAAAAGCTCACGTGTGAGATAGTGCAAAGTTTAGAGGAGAAATGATTGGGTTATGACCTTAACCTAATCATTGAATTAATCCCTGATGGATTAACTGAGTGGTAATTAACTGAGGCAGGTGGGGTGTAGTGAGAGGAGGTCATTATTGGGGGCATGCCTTTGGGGTATATATTCTGTATCTGGTAAGTGGAGTCTCTCTGCTTCCTGATCATTTGAGCTGCCTCCCTCTGCCACACTCTTCTGCCATGATGTTCCGCCTCACCTTGAGCCCTGAGGAATGGAGCCTACTGTCTGTGGACTGAGACCTCTGAAACTGTGAGCCCCCAAATAAACTTTTCCTCCCCTACAATTGTTCTGGTTGGTCATTTAGTCACAGCAGCAAAAAAGCTGACTAAAACAATCCTAAAATACTGACAAGGATTTTTCCTGTCCTCCAAGCACTTTCCCTCACAATTCTGTAGGTTCTCACTCTGTCTCTCTATCCTTTGTGGAATCCCAGGTGAATTAAGCCTCATCCACTAGGAAAGTAACCCAGTGACTTTCCTGCTAGTGCTAGACAGACTGGGTATGAGGAACTGCTTGCTATTTATGACTATTAGCTGTAAGTGGTCCTTGCTCCCCTAGCCCAGACTCTAAATGCTGCCCATCAGGTGGCATATCATCATTTACACTTCTTGATGAACCCAGTCTGCTGAGATACAATGCCATTGACCAGATCCAAATACTAGAAATACGAAACCCTTTGTGTCTGGAAAGGGGACTTTTCCACAATCACACCCGTGTGCTTCAGAATTTGGACCACTAAGTGGAAAAGAGGGTAGAGTGCTGGTGCCTACCTGAGAAACACAGCACAGTGTGCTGGGGTAATCCTTGGCTCAGTATCTCCATGGACTAGGTACTTGCTCAGTATGCTCTAGGCAGCACAGTGGCAGGTTGTCCATCACATGAGTCAAGATTAATCATATACTCCACTAAGTAAAATGAGTCCAAACGTGGCTCTGTGAATAAACACTCCTTTCTCCCTCACTGCTCCCCCAAGTCTTATTCATTGTCCAATTCTGGGTCCATTGTATTTATTTTACAGTTCTGTCTGTATCTCCACAACCACTGCCCTAGTCCATTAACCATCTTCACTTCCATGGAGGAGTGACTTTTCCCTTCCTCCACTCTGCCCATCTTCAGTCTACACTTTTCACTACTGCCACAGAGACCACTCCAAAGCACAAATCTGACCATATCACTACCCTGCTTCAACCCTTCCTGGATATTCCTTTTCCTTCAGAGAAACTCTAAAGTCCTCATTATGGCATACAGATGACTGTGCCCATCTGTGTTAGGGGTCTTCTCCACAACTACCCCTGGGTTTGATGATTCTCAAAATTTCAAGTCCCCAGAGGTAATCAGGAATTTAGCATCAACTATATTCTCTGTACAATATAGGTGCAGTCTGCCTTAATTCTTCTCATTTAGGGAAATGTTTATATTAATATACATAACTGTTTATCTTGCAAGTTCCCAGAGGCCAGTTAAGGGCCAATCTGTCCTTCCAAGTCTAGCAGTCTCAGGCCTTCCATGGTAACATAGTTCCTGTGCATTGTTTGTCCAACATCAACTTCTCACTCCTTATCACCATAAAATGTAGCCCTATCAAATCTCAGGGTACTCCCAAAGCATGCCACAATTTTACCTATCATCATTTTAGCACAAGATAATCTCTATATCTCCTGGAGCTCTCCTTCATCATCTAGCAAAGTACATCTTCAAAATGATCTTCTGTCACTTTGGTATAATCTTCCCTGATTCCACATGGTTGGCCAACTCAAGTGCTCCTTCTGTATGTTCCCATGGTATCTCACCATACCCTCAGGGCAGCCAAATTGGGTGGGCTTATTTCAGGGTACATAGTACACCAGTAAGTTAGACCAACCTGGCTTGCTTTCTATGACTGCACTTTTCCTAATTCTTCCATTTATCCAAAATTTTCTTTCAAGTACTACTCTACAGTTCCTCTTCCTCCCCCAGACCCTTCAATATTATTTTCTAGAATTCTGGCCTTTCTGCCTTTGCTTCTCTCTTCTTTTTACCTGTTTTCATTTTTATATTTGGTTAGGGTTTTAGGAGGCCAATAATTAATAGCCCCTGCTTTCTTTTCTTTTTAAGACAGAAAAGCAGAAAACAGATACAAATATCCACTGACAAAGCAGGTGGTTTAGATGTACATCCTATAAGGCAGGCTCCCTCTGCATTAAAACCACATGAACGTACCTACCCAGTCAAGGACTTGTGGGACAATTGGCCATGGGAGCTTGTGGACAGGAGCAGAGAATGCTGTATACACACTGGCTTCCAAAGACAGTCTCCAAGTGACCTTACTCACTCCCTTCAGTTATTTCCTGTAAGCTGACAACTCTCAACTCTGTAGCCCCTTGTCAGATGTTCACTCAACTCCAAACCTGTTTAATCAATAGTCTACTTGTCATGGACCCCTCAATCCTCTACAGGCACTTCAAATTGAACATGGTTCGATGACCATATCATATCTGCATAGCAATCCCTCCAATCTCCTCAACCTTAGCTCATTCCTGTCATCATTTACTTAGTCACCTGGCCATACAATATGGGCACCAGCCTTAGCTCCCATTTCTCCCTCACCATTACCTTTAATAATTCAACAACACTGAGGCCTTGTCACCTCTCCCTTGCCCTAAAAAGCCTCCTAACGGGCCTCCTACCTTGTCCTGCTATGCCCTCCCACATAGCCTGATCCTCCCATAAGTCATTTGGCCATGGCATTATCCTACATGGAAACCATCAGTGGCTTCTGGGAACCTCAGGATGTGGCTTGTACTCCTCAACCCTCACAGCAGTTGCCTGCCCAGTCCACTGTTGATACTTCATGCCAGGCTACCAATTTACTCTTCTTCCTTGCAGCCACCCTGATTCCACATTCATTTCCTATAAACGTACCTTTCTGCAAGTATCTAGTTTCCTTTACCTGAAATGCCTTCTTTAGCACATGCATGAGGCAAAATCTTTGTTAGCCTTCAAAATTGAGCTCCAACCTCACCCCACCTGCAAAAAAAATCTTTCCTGACATCACAACCACTTCCCCACAAAAAAAGACAAAAACTGGAACCAGTCACCTCATCCTTCATCTATGGGCTGCACTTTTTATATTACTTCCTAACTGCATAGAATACTAATCCATGAACGAAGCAATACAAGGTGACAGAAGTCCAAAAATGGTCATTCAGTCTTTGAACTGGGTCCTTTCAGAACTTAGGTCCATGAAGTCAAAGATGCATTGGATAATTTTAAATGAGAAAACCTATTATCTAACAGGTGAGCGTGGACCTAAAATTATCCTCCTCCTGTCTAACTAATTATGGAACCACCATGATATAAAAAGGCCCAGAACCATGAGGGTGGAGGAATATTTTTATTTTATCCCTGCAAAAGGAGCCACAGACACCAGCTGTACCCCACAGCAGATTCCTTGCTTGAATCCACCATCTTCTGTCTCAGGGGACAGTGGGAGTCTTGGCTCATTTCTAGCATTTCAATCTTCTGTAAGAAAACATTTGCTAAGATCTGCAGAAGTGGCTAGTGCTTATGTTTGCATTCCCATAAATCACTGAGCAACACATACTATATTCAATGATCTGTGAAGGTGTTCATAGATGTACAGGACAACGCAGCATTGGCAAAAGCAGGCTCTATGCCTTCTGCAGGGTTTTGACTTAAAAACTCCCCACCTAAACCACATGGTCACCTCCAGTGTTGATCACACTTGCCCTTTTACTCATACACAATGACATACACCAACTTACTGCCTGTTAAATCTCCTGCCACTCACTCCCCCCCACCGCCTGTTCACATTTGCTCCTTTCCTCACTCTGACCTTCTCTCTGCTTCACCCTATCACTCTCCTATTTTTACTTGCTTTTGCTCTCCCTCTTTCACAGTCTGTGTCATTCATGCTTTGTCATTCTCTGACAGCACAACTTTATGCATAAAAATAACCTTTGCCCTACTGGAACCCCAACCTGGAGTGCACATGCACTGGGAAATTAGCCTTCTTATACTTGAGGACAGACATCTCCACCTATCACAGCACTATCACATTTCCTCAAATCATAGGAAGTCCACTAATACTGCCCAGGGAATCACTACCATGATTCTACTTACAGAGCAGGAGTGCAAGCACCTGACTGTGTAATGTGCCAGGCATAGGCATGGAGTGGAGGAAGTGGTTCCCACAGGTGTCTTGCTGCCCCCTATAAAGCCCTGGCTGCAGACAGCAGGAGCCCAGTGGAGTTTAGACCTTACCTGCTGGCAGAGCTCTCCAGTTCAACAAGCTGCTCAGGTGCAGCAGGGGTATTCTGCCACTCTAGGATGCTGAGATCTACAGGTTGTGGAGTGGGTGCAGCTGGGTCTCCTTGGCCAACCCCCAGGACTTCAGGCGTCTCCTGCAAGACCTCACAGACTTTGGTGGCCACATTCTTCTCTTCATAAGCCGCTGAGATGCTGAGGAAGAATGAACACACTATGAAGGGAGTGCTCACTCTCTGCACGCTGGCTGTCACATCTGCTGGGCATGGAGGGGCTCATGTCCTTGAGAGTAGAACACAGAGGAGCCAGAAAAAACCCATCTTGAGGGAGTGGGCGGCATCCTCCTCCACAGGACCTCAGCACCCCTGCTTCCTTGTCACTAAAAGTCAGCCTCCAATGTGTAATAAATAAAGCCAATCCTGCAACAGGGGGTTGTCTCACCAGATGTCCCAGGCAGCAGATTTTGAGGGGCAGGTAAAAAAAATGGAAAAAAAAAAGTGAGCCGAGGCTCCACTTGCACACTCCTTCCATCATCATTCCTGCCCCAAGGTGCAAGGTACTGCTTCCAGGAACTATTCGGCCAGGGGCAAAAACAGCATTGGGTAAATCACAGCATGAGCCCAGCATTCAAATATTCAGCATCACCTGAATTTTGGGTCACCCTAAACACAACTTTTAAGTATCATCAGTCTGCTTCCAATAACTGCTGGGGGAAACCCCAAGATAGGGACATACTACCAATTTACACCATACCTGGGAGTCTTTATTTATGGACATTCATTCTATAAAATCAGGCTCTGTAAATTCAAGCTGGAATACCAATGGGAGTGATGGATATGGTTTTCAGGGAGCATACCTTGAAAATAATGCAATTCTTAAAACTTATGTGGAGACTTACAACAATTTCCCAACAGGGACATAAAATCAATTTCCACCTCCAGCTGCACTAAGCAGTGTAGAGTCCTTTGTAGAACTAGTATGGTGATAGAGGCTGTCCTCACCAAGTTGGTAAATGGAGCCAAGATTCTCCACGAAGAGTAATTTGGGTTCCAGTGCAACAAAGGAACAAATGGAAGAATAAGCCTTCATCTTAGGCCTTGGTAGCAGGGTCTCTATGATTTTAACAGATGTACCTCATATAGGTTGTGAAATGGAAATCTTGGTTGAATACTCCCAGGAAGACTTGTTGAGAAATGTAACATCATAGATCCAGTTACATAATACATCAATGACCAATTCCTAAAACAACCAGTCTTTATAGAAAAGACAATGTCCTTTTCTACTCTTGTAAGACCTCCACTAGATTCCTCCACTGGTTGACAACAGTTGAGAGCAGTAAGTGAATGTTCCTAAAATTCCCCTGCTCCTCATGTAGGAAAAACATAAATTTGAAAAGCCCACACTTAAGCAATAACAAAGAGGAAAACAGCATCTGTTTTAGTTGTAAAGTCTGATATCAAAATTTCAGAAGGAAGGAAATGAGATACAATGTCTTGTGAAATGAAATCAGGCCAATAAAGCTGGTCATGTGAAAAAGAGAACAGCTTTCCCAGGATCCTTGAATAGTTTTGGCTGAAGGAGCTATCCTCTGAAGGTACTTCATTTAGCTTGAAGGCTTTATCAGATAACCAGCATCTGACATTTATCCAGTAGTTTATGCCAAGAAATATGACATCTATAAAATATTTTGTGCCAAGAAATCTTACATGTTTTACATATACACTCATTTAACCTTCACAACAACCCTATATAGTAAAAGTTATTACTACTACTATTCTACACTTAAGGAAACTGAGGCCCAGAGATGAGTGATACGCCCAAGGCCACAGAGCTAGTAAGTGACAGCTGTGATTTAAATTCAAGCACCAGAGTCCATGCTGTCAACCTATTGTACTATATGGATTCTCCGTATATGTGTGATGGTGCAGAACCTAGTTGGGATAGGGTAAAGTTCCTAAAGTTTCGCATAACTTTGTTGAAATGACTTTGTGCTTCATCATCAAATTCAAAGGGAACTAAGTCCATAACCACTGAGAGGCACAGGCATTGCTTTGTGGAACTTACTAGGTTAATAGAAAGACTAGGGTGAGAGCTCTCAGAGGGGCAGGGGCTTGCTTGGTTTGAATCTCCCGCAGGCAACGCTAACCACTGAGTGTCACAGCGCACCCAAGCTGGTGCCCCAGCCCCAGGGCTCTGGTGGCTGGACGGACGCCCCGCCCTGCCGCCCCCTGCCCTCCGCAGCCCACAGTCCAGTGTCCGGAGGCGACGGTCCCCTGCGCCCCCCAGCCGTGCACACGCGGCCACCCCAAGACCAGCCGGCTGAGGCCACCTCTACCCGCGGTGCCTTGGGGTGGGGGAAGGGCGGACACAGCCCCAGCCGGACGACCAGGCCCATCCGCGATCCTCGAGCGCCACCTCGCGGCCAGCAAGGGCGCGGCCTCGGGACCAGTCCCGCCGAGGCCCGCCTCGCCCTGGCGGCCATTTCGCCCGGCCGAGGGGCGCGCTTCCCGGCGGCCACCTCGGCTCCCGGCCGGCGGCTGCAGGAAATGGCGGCGTGCGCAGGCGCACTCGCCATGGTCCCACGCTGCCCGACCGCGAGCGCCCAAGTGCCCCGGCGCGCGCATGCGCGGGCACACTCTTATTGCGGCTTCACGCTCCACGGGCCCCGCTTCAGCGTCCGCGGCTCTGGTCTGGGAGTCGGTAGCCTGAGCGGGCCTCTGTACTCCTCCGAAAGTTCTGTTCCCAAAGACGCCATGACGCACCCGAGCAGGGTCGTCAAGCTCAGCGGTATTAACGTTTGGGCCGGATAATTCTGCTCTGTGCGTTGCGGGCTTGGGCGCTGTGGTGTGCCCTGTAGGATGTTTAGCAACGCACCTGGTCTGTGCCCTTTAGAACCCAGTACCTAGTACCACCCAGCCTCAATCATGGCAGCCAAACAGGAGTCGGAAGGCCTGGGGATGCCCCTCCTTCTGAACCACTAGGCCCCGGGCACTGCCGGAAGAATGCTTTTTCACCAAGACTGAAGAAGACAATAAACACAGGAGGGGCTGGGGCTTTTTAAAAGAGAACAGTTGGTGCTGGGGAGGACCTCACTGGTGGAGGCTTTCCTAGAATGCATGAGATCTTGGGTTCCATACTCTGTGAGAGAGAGAGAGAGAGAGAGACGCACGCAATGGCAGAGGTTCACCCCAGAAAAAACACATCCAAACATACACCTGGAGCTCAGGAAGACCTTTGTTTTTAAACTCTTCCCAGATAATGCTCAAATGCAACCAAAGTTGTGAAACATTCATCAACAAACGTTGTGTTGACTTTGCAAACTTACACATCAGAGGAAAGTACTTCTGACCCTAGGCACTAGAGTTGGCCAGCTCTTGACTTTTATTTCCAGCTCTGCTCCTTACAGGAGTTTATCTCTTGGTTTCCTCCTCTGTCAACTTACATAATCAGAAATCTGATGTTTTGCAGGGTTTGGAGAACATTAGATGAAACCACACAATGTGCTTTACACGTAAACACCTGCAAGTTACTACTTCTGGGTCGTGAGTATTTGCTCCAAACATAATTCATAAATTTTTAGTTTTCTCCTGAAGTTTTTCTTTGAGCCTCCTCTTTGGGACTCAGTTCTGCCACTTGTAAGGCCTTGGATAAGACATTTAACCTTTCTCTGCTTGTTTCCCCATCTTATCCATCTCATGCAAGTGTAAGCATACCACACTGTAACTGTCAGCTACTGTTCTCACCCTCATTGTTAATTGTCAGTGGAATTTTAAACAGAAAAAAGGCACATAAGGCTTCATACTTTAGAGATCTGCTGCACAGCCCCCCTTCTTGTTTAAGTTTAAAAGCAACTGCAGTGCAATACGAAAATGTAAATGTGCATTCATCATTAAACACCTAGATCACACAAGGCTCCTCTTTGACTTAAAACTTGAAAGAAGAGTATATCTCCTTATTATGTATGGTTAATCAAGGCCCTATCCATCTGCAGTCCCCATCACTGCTTTGCCTCCACTCTAGACTTTGGAACATGGTAAGCACATTCCCACCACTATGTTATCAGGTTTGCAGTTCTTCATCTGCAGCTCCTGTCTCCCCTCTATAGAGTTGGTTCCCTTGTCTTTGTGTGCCTGAATTTCCACCCTCCACCCACCTATGTACTAGCTCTCCTCAATGCCACCTCTTTCTGTCTCAGCACCCTGGCTCTTTTCTTCAGAGCACTGACCTTCCCATGGGGCTTGGAGACCTAGGTTCTGAGTCCTTGCTCTTCACTAAAACCTTGTGAGACTAGGGAGTATTGTATGAAACACCATGAATACATGGCTGTGCACACAGTTGGTGTCCCAAATTTAAGTTGCTGTTGCATGGAACAAAAGGCCAATCAGCCCTCCTACTTAAGCAAGCTTCCTCTTCCACCACTCCCCCATACAGTCTCGTCATTGGCCACAATTAGCTCTGTGCAGTGCCCGGGAAACACCAGGTTCTTTTGAGCACTTTGTATATCCTATTCCCTCGGCTTGAGGACTCCTACACCTTTCAAGATACAACTCAGAAACCACATCCCCATGAAGCTGTACCAAGGCTTACTTTTCCCTGCTCTAGCATGATGTGTTCCTCCAATGTGGGCCAGGCTTTGTTCTCACCCACACACAGCCTAAGAGTCCTTGAAAGCAGAGACATTCTGATTTGTGTGGGTGCTCCAACCTGCATCAAAGGGTAGGTACCATCCCAGTGGTTGATGACTGGAAGAGTGATCCTTCCTGATTATAGAGTACCTCTACTACCAGGCTAGAAGAAACGGGGCTTAGCAAAAAGCTCTGACCCCAGAGGCAGAAGCCAGATGGTCCAAGCTGGTACTTTTGTCCTTGCCATGTGCCTTGGGCCAGCTCACAAGCCTAGATGGCTTTGGCTTCCTACCCAAAGGATACTTGAGCTACCTGTCTCTACCCCAGAAACTTACCACTGTCTACTAATATCTTACCCCTTAGGGTCTGTCTTTGTTTCTTCCAGGTCTGCTGTGCTGTCACTCTTCCTATCATCCAGGACAGCAGAGGCCAAAGTGGTACTGGAGCTGAGGGAAGGAAGCACATGGTCCTGCTGAAGCTCAGATCAAAGGAAGCTGGGGGCCCAGATCTTCCCATTTCCCAGATACCTTCTAACAAGAAAATGAAACTGTCTGCCAGTAAAGGCTGGCCTGTCAGTTATGTCCCTGGAACCATTTGTCCTTCCCAACCACACGCTATGTGCTCCTGGGATTGTGGCCTCTAGTGCTAGCTGATTGTCCCTGAGATTCTTCTTCCTGATTCCTGCTTGCTGGATCAGTTAGCAGTCCCTAGAGGAGAGGTGCACTGAGACCTCTTATCAGGATCTGTTTCTAAACTGGGCTTTCTGATGCCCTCCATTCTGTCTCTGGTCCCCTGCCACCTCAGGGCCCATAAAGTTTGGTGCTGAAATGTCTGGGCCAACAGACTTACCCCTGTTTCTCTTCTCCCACTGTCCCTAGTGAGTGTGTACAGTTCCAAGTTGGGCCCTTCTTTTATTTTATTTTATTTTTTAGTTTTAGGTAGACACAATATCTTTATTTTTATTTTTATGTGGTGCTGAAAATTGAACCCAGTGCCTCACGCATGCCAGGCAAGCGCATTACCACTTGAGCCACATCCCCAGCCCCTGGCCCCTTCTTTTGACACCCTGTCCTGTGACACTTGATGTAAGGTGACATGGAGCTGAGAAGTTTGAGGGGATCTTGGGGCACTGGAACTTAGGTTAGGCTCTGAGTACTGTGTCTGGCAATACGACTGGTCACTGAGGAAGTCACCACACCCTTACCTGGTAGCCACTGGTCCAGGCTTGCAGGAATGAGAGATGGCATCATCCACATCTTGATCGTCCAGAAAAGGGGTGAGGGTAGCAGCAGAGCCCTCCCTGTTGAAGGAGGTCATGCCTGGTCCAGGTTCAGGACCCCAACAGATGATGGGGAATGTGGATTTGCTCAAATGGATGCTTACGTCTCAATATTAGCTTATATCCCAAGGCAGCTGGACAGGCATGACAATTACCTGACCTCTTTGGGCCTTAGTTTTATCATTGGTGAAATAGGGATGATAATCCTATCTGCCTCATAGATGTTCTTAGAAGAGTAAGTGAATTCACATTCACATAATAATACCTGGGCCATAACACATGCTAACACATTTTTGTTCTTGGGGCTGCTTATAAAAAGCAGCCCATCTGTATCCACCCAGTTGATGGAGATTTAGTGGCTCTCCTTTACCCAGGCTTCCCAGTGTTAAGCCACATTTTCTGTCTCCATAAAATGGGAAAAAAGATATTCATAGGGCACCCCATCACCCACACAAGCCCAAAACCTCCATTTGGGTGGTAACATAATGAGTCCTTCATGTTTGTTCCCCAGCCTGTTTATGCCAATTGCATTTGCAACCACAATCACCAAATTCAGTTGTTGAGTAAACTCATGAAAATGAATGGAAAAGAAGGGTAGTTCCAGGAGAAACAACCTGTACTTTGGAAAGATAGTAAAGGAGTTTTCTAAAAATCAATGTCAAACCAAGTACAAATAAGCAGCTAAAAAACCTGGGCTAAATATCCTAAAAAATCTAGGAGATTCTTCAGAATACTTTGCAAATTACCTTGAAGTTTAGCTTTTTTAATTTATTTTTATTTTTTCGTACTGGGGATTGAACCCAGGGGTGCTTTATCAGTGAGCCACATCCTCAGCCCTTTTTATTTTCTATTGTGAGATGGGTCCTGGCTGTTTCCCAGGATGGCCCCCAATTTGTGATCCTCCTGCCCCAGCCTCCTGAGTTGCTAGGATAACAGGCTTGTACCACCATACCCTGCTGAGGTTTTTCTTTCTTTAAAGAAACTAGAAAGCAAAGACTTCCTTTTATGAAGATACATAAGCAGGAAGGATGATACAGATGGATATTCAAAGACAAAGCAACCCAGAACCAGACTCAATCACACTGGAGCAGAAACCTTCTATGGTTGCCAACAACAGATCAAATCAGTGTGTGCCACTGTGGGAGAGGGAAGGAGGCAATGCTGATGAGGGCCAAAGTTCCTGCTGCCATGCAGGTCCCTCTGGACCAGGAAAAGGGGTTTGGACTTTATTCCAAGGGAAGTGGGGAGCCACTGGGAGGTTGAAGCAGGGGGAAAATGTGATCTGATTTATTTTTTCAGAAGATCTTTCTGCTGCCTTTGCAGACAGCAAAAAGATGCAAGCTGCTTAGGCAGGGCTGTAGCAGTTTTTCCCATTATTAGTAGTTCAAATAACTGAGTCCCCAGCACAGTGGCCTTTCCTGAACCTACTCAGAGACAGTGGTTTCAGAGGTTGGGCTCACTGTGTTATTCCCACATTGGCTTGTGTTCCTGGACCTGGCTCCAGTAACCCATTGTAACTAGTTAAGTTAGAGGAAGGGGCCTTTGGTGGGCTTGTGGAAGTAGGGGCAACTGGGAGGGGTTTGGGGAAGGCAACCTGCAGGGCATCCTTCCCGAGACCCCTCCTGGCCACATTTGCAGGAGAACACAGGCATCTTACAGTTGCAACTGTCTAGCATCAGTTCTGACCCATAAGGACTCTAGTACAGTTTGGAACTGAACTACTTGTGTCAATATCTACATTCCTAGCCTTTGCCCCCAAGGATGATTCATGCTTGGTTTGGAACCACCTGGGGACAGGTGGAACCTTGCCACTCCCCAAATCATCTGAGAAAGTGACTTCTGACTCCACCCAGGTCCAGCAACCCAAAACCAACCTGGACAACTTTGTCTCCTAGCTTGTCTCACCTGGGCTGCTGCTTTTCCTCTCATTGACCCTCAGAGCAGAGTTGGTAAGGAAAGGGGGACTTTGGAGCTTCTTCCTCTTTGGGAAAGGGAGATGGTAGGATCAAAAGGCCTCCTAGTTGGTCCTCACAGCTCAGCCAAGAAGTAATAAGGCATGGATTCATCCATCATTTGGTCACTCATTAATTAGTTTGTCCCTTCTGTATTCCCTACATGTTCATTCCACCTGCCCAGGGCCAGTCCTGGTGAGGGCTGGACCTCCAAATATGAGTGAGGCCTTGTGCTTGCTCTGGAGGAACTTGCAAGCCAGTGGAGGGAGTGGGCAGGTGAAGGAACAAGGCAGGAGCATAGGTAAATGAAAGGAAATATGTAAAATATGAGGGCAAGGGATGTGATGAAGGGAGGGAGTATGGGTAAAGCAGCAGACAAGAGCTCCAGGAAGTGACCAGTGCCTCACCCCAGCAACCCAAGTAGTCTGGCAGCTTGAGTGTGGCCTGTCACCAGGGACACATGTCTCCTATAAGCACCTCACCCTCCTATTTCTGAGCTGATGTCTGCTCCAGCCAAGCCTTATGGTGGGGACCCCATGGCTCCTGATCCCACATTTCCATCATTCAATTGTGCACTTGATCTGTGATGGAAAGAGAAGTGTTTGCTAATTCTAACTGGGCTTTAACCTTATTGAACTCCAATATCCTGAGAGTGGGTCTCAAGGACCAGAAACAGAACCTTGGTTGCCTCCCTGATCACAACAAAGAGAAGCCCAAGCAGACTCTAACAGCAAAACTTCTTCAAAACTTGATGAGTATCAGTGGGGCCAAGAAACAGTAGAGACTCAGGAGGGCAACAGAGAGACTCAGGAGGCAGGTATGTTGGGGTCTGATGGCCACCAGACAAAGAACAAGGCATTCTGGGCTGCTAATAAGCCAAAAGGGGCAGAAATAAGGCTACCCCAGCCATCCAGGACACCCTTCCCTTATTCCCATGGCTCAAAGTCTTAAGTAGGGGCTCCAGAACTCCATAATGGGAAGGCAGATCTGTGGGTTCAAATCTGTTCCTGGCTACCAGACTCTGGCTAGCAAATGCCCAATCTATAGCCATTGCTCATCAGATCCATTCTCTCCTGGTCTGACTTGGAGGCTAGGTCTGTGGGATATAGGATGAATAGGTACAACCATCTCCTCTAGATAACCATTCCCCACCCTCCCTTTGTACAACTTGCTGGCCTTGGTTTGAATGGATCATTCACAAGGCTGCTTTTTCCTGGAATAAAAGCATAGCAAGTATGGTGGCTTTAGATAAATTGAAGGAAATCAGTGAAGGTCAAGTGCTGGGATAGGGGTGGCCTAACCTAGAATTTGGTCCTGCTTTGCAACCAGTGACCTCAGGGATCTTGGCAGGGGTCTGCCCCTCTCCAGGCCTCATTCATTCATCCTTTCAACAGATAATCATTGAAGACCTGTACTATCCCAGGGGGATAGCAAGGATAGGCCAATCCTACTGCCAGCAACATCTACCAACCTTCACCTGGATGAAGATGTGGATTCCATATTCTGGGGATAAAGACTCTGCTCCCTGCCATGAGTTACCTTTCAGAATCTGTGCTGGGATCTTTGAAGGTCTCACCAGCCAAGTCTCTCTTGAGCTCTCTGAAGCAGGGGGACTCCTTGTCTTTGTGGTCTTGGAAAGACCTATGGAGGGAACAGTTATAAGTTAGCCACTTGTTATCCACCCACACTCTGGCGGGGAAAGTTATCTCAACCCTTGGGCAATGCTGTCATCTATGCCCACTTTCTAGATGAGCAACCTGAGCCACAGAAACCCGAGTAACTTGCTCCAAATTCCACAGTAGAGGAAGAGCTGGGAATTTGAGCCCAGGCAGTCTGATTTAAGAGTTCTGGATTATATTTCTTCACATTGTAAGCCTGATCCTAGCTTACTTACTCTCACTCTGTTCTCTTTTGAGTTCATTGAGGAGCCCCATGTTGTCAAATCCAATAGTCAGTCCCATCATTATCTCAGGCCACCATCAGTACCACTGACCCAGTGGGCCACTCCTACTTGCTTCCTCTACTCCCTTGGTCCTGTGACACCTTCTACCTCCCTTTATCTACTTCACCTTTATCTTCTATGTTGCACTTAAATGTTGGTGTCCCCAGTGTTCCTCTCCGCTTTGCATATTCTACCACCTACTGGGTTTCCTGCTCTCCTCACATGGCATAAACTGTCACCTTGATATAATGACCTCCAAAAGTCACCCAGGTAGATACATGGAGGACAGTCTGGGGATGGGACAGTAGGACATGGTGGCAGATAACTGGGCCAAAAATGGTGGAGGCCTGAGTCTAGGGGAGGGTAATAGAAATGAAAATATCTCTAAAATAAAATGGACAGGGGAGTATATGGGGTTAGAGAGAGAGAGGAACCAAGAAGGAAAATAAAGGGATGTATAATTCCCTTTAGATTTATTTTGGTCATCACTTCTTCCAGGAAGATTTCCCTCAGCCCCTGCTGCTCTACAGATTAAGGGATTACCTCCTGTATACACACCCACCTCTCTCCTCAGACCTTTGGCTTCACAAAAGATAGGGGCCCAGTCTTTCTGCTTAGATTTCTCTGAGCCTCCACTTCAGCTTCCCTCTGGCCCAACTCCCAGTGTCCCCTGCTTCCTCCAGGGCAGGAGACTGCTGCTTCCCCATCTGTGTCCATACCTGTGATCCTGCCTGCCTGTCACCTGGGTGTCTGGCCCCTGCTTCCCCCAGGGTAGGAGCTGAACCCATTGTGTTCCCAGCTGGTTGTGGTCGGTCCCCTTGTACCTCCTCCTCCCCAGCACAGGACACTGTGGCATCATGAGCTATGGAGGCTGACCCAGGATCCCAACCTATTCCCAGTACCCCTTCACACAGGCAAATGAACTACCTCAGTGGCTTCAAGGTGTGGCACAGACCCAGTGTCCCCACTCAGCACAGTTGGCCAGTCTTGGGGGCTCATAACATACAGTGCAGTCAGTACCAGAGTGACCTTGCTCATGTCTGCATCTTCCTCCCTCATCAGGAAGAAATTCAGCAACTCTGGCCCAGGGGTTCCCAGTCACAGCTGGATCCCAGAGCCAGGCCTATTGCCTCACAAGGACCAAGTGCTCATTCTAGAAAAATTATTGATTGAAAGAATGAGATAGGAGCAGATCATATCTTCCACCAACCTGTCACTCCCACAGTGACAGAATCAGTCCCCAGGCTCATCCTTTGCATTCTGGCCCTCTGCCCCATCACTAGAATGGTTTAGAGGGACACAGTACAGCAGCAGGGCCTCTGTACCTGATGCCTTCCAGGTCTGGAGCCACCAGGCGGAGTCCTGCCCTGGGTGTCATGATCTGCAGACGGACAATCTCCTCACCTCTTGAGCTGTGGGCCAAAGGAGAGATCTGAGAGGTGCTACTAGGGAAAGCCTCTCCTTTCCCACCTGAGTCAATGTCCAAAGATGTTGTCCCTCTGGTGCTAGTGCAACAACCAGATCCATCACCCTCCCCCTTTTGTTTTTGCTCTCATCTGCTCTTTGGCCTTGAACCTTCTTGGTTCTACAACTGAGCTCAGGCCACTGACCTGCAGGCCCCAGAGAAAGGGGAGCAAAGTAGTCTTTCCCCCGTCTCCTACCCCCATCTGAGCTCAGCCCTCCCTAAGGCACAGCAAAAGACCTTCTGAGTAGAAATGAGATCACATCTGGTCTAGCAAAGGGAAGCAGTGGGATGACAGCTTGAAGTACAGGGTGGAAGTTTATATGATCAGACTGACATTTTAGAAAAGCTATTCAGGGGTCCCAGGAGAAAGAGGAATTAGAGTGGCTAGGATGAAGTCAGGGAGACAGATAGTTCTTCACTTGATGCAGGCCTGGATCTCAGCCAATCTTGGGGTTGGTCCTGGTTTCTGGCACCAACCTAAACCAGAAGCCTACGGTGGGCTTGGTCAGTGACTACTTATCTCTCTGTCCCTCTGCATCTACCCTGAGCAGGGCCTGGAGCACTGGAGATGACCAAAGGGAAATAGAAAATCAAGGACTTCAAGTGACAGGGGCTTTCCCCACCATAAAAACCAGAAGGGGGCCTAATATATGTAGACAGCTCTGATTTCTGCCCATCTCTTCCCATGATAACAATGTAACATAATTATCAACAATGATGTCATTTATGATTACAGCATACAGGGCCTGACAGCTTCATTTAAATCAGAAGATTTAAATGCCAAGCAACAGGAACACGACTGACTTGAGAATGTCACAGGCAAGTGAAACATATTTTCTCATTGGCATTTCTGGTTGTGTGAGAGAAGAAATAGGAATGAAGGGTCACTCCAGACTATACCAACTTTTCCATATCCCTTTGTCTCTTGCCCAGGCTGGCACCACTGCCTCAACACTTTCTTCCTCCTGTGTCACTTCCATGAGCAATGTCTTCTTAAAGTCCAGCTCAAATGGCACCTCTTCTAGATGGGCTGTTATGGGGTTGAACTGTGTCTCCCCAAAAGCTATATTTAAGTCATAAGCCCTAATATCCATGAAGGTATCCTTATTTGGAAATAGGGTCTTTGCAGATGTAATCAAGGTAAAGTGAGTTCATACTGGAGTAGGGCGGGCCTTAAGCCAATGACTGTGTCCTTATAAGAAGAAGGAAATTTGGAGCCAGACAGACACACAGTGGAAAGGCAACCAGGTGAAGATGCAGGCAGAGATTGGAGGGATACAGCTGCCAGCCAAGGGTTGCTGGCGACTAACAGAAGCTAGGAGAGGTGAGAGGAGCTTCGGGTCTGGGAGAAAATACATGGGTACAATTTTTACACCCCACTCCCCAAATGTGGTACTTTGTTCTGACAGCCCCAGGAAACCATCTAGGAGGTGGGATGGTCAGGGACCTCGGGGAAGGTCCGAGAGTGAGAATGAGAAAGCCCATTGGCTCTCCCCACCAGGAGGCTGTGGGCAGCAGCCACACTCAGTGGGACACCTGAGTCCTGGGTCTCTCAGGGAGAGACCACTCGCTTGTTCCTGCTCCACCTCACCACCACACTCACCAAAGCCCGACCTTGCTCTGCTCCACTGGACAAGAAAAACCACCCAGGGTTTGAAACAAGTTGTGGTTGGCTTCTGAGCAGCTGGTTGGTGCTCTAGGCCAGCCTGGTCTCACCAGGGCTCTGCACTTCCCTCAGCTTCTCCAGGTGCCTGGTGATGGCATCCCTCCCACCACCCACACACCAGAGCCTGCAGAGGGAGTATAACCCTGCTGGCACATTGATCTTAGACCTCTGGCCTCCATAATTGGGAGAAGCTAAATATCTGGCATGGTGTTCTGGTGGCAGCAGCAAACAAACACAGTGATCTTCCAGCTTCTCTCCCCTGCATCACCCTAACAGCCCCATCACCTCCATAGCCGCTTGGCCACAAGTTGTTTCAGTTTGAAGTTTTCAACAGGGCTGAAGATCAAAACCCTAAACCCATCAGTGCACATCCACTGTGGCCCTAGCCACCTGTGGGAATGTGAAGGAAAGCGATCTGTCAGAAGAGAGGAGACTCCTGTGCTCCTGTGTGTATTAGGTGAGGGTGGGGAAAGGGTCCTCCTTTACATTGCCCTTAGTTGCATGTCCTCCAGATGCCAGCAGGTGGCCATATTGGTCTCTTCCTGTATTGAAGAAGGGTCCCATAAATTAGCAAACTATAATCAGGAGCACACAATGATACTGGCATCCAGGCATCTGTATTTCATAGGCATTATTCCACTTAGTATTGGGGATAGCTTTGGGAAGTGGGTATTACTGTCCTCTCTGTTTTACACATGAGGAAACTGAGACCCAGAGAAGTTAAGGAAATTGCTCAAGGACATACTGCCAATCTGGGGCAAAACCAGGGTTATATCTTGTGCCAGAAGCTATGCTCCTACAAATGGTACCCCAGCTATTCTTCCAGAAAGCACAATGATGGCACAGCCAAGGCCCAGGACCCAGGAGGACCTGCTCTAGTCGATGAGGCACAGAGCCAAGGAAGCATGACCAGTGCAGTGATGGGGAAAGTAGCTAGGCTTGGGAGGATCAAAAAGTGGTGCTCATGCAGGGCCAGTGTGTGCCATAGAGGGTAGCTAAGTGAGCTCAGTTCACAGAGAGGCATGAGACACTGACCTATAGATTGTAGCCAAGGCACACAGGACAAGGCCAGGTCTGGGGAGGCTGTGGCTAGGGACAAGGCTATAATCACCCCCTAAGCAACTCTGCCAAAATCCAGCCTTTTCTGGGGATGTTTCAGGACCCAAAGTTTGGTTAAGTGACTGCTCCTGATGGGCTTCTTAGATAAGGGCACGGGAACTAAGCATGGGGGAACTGACGGTGGTTGCCTGGCCCAGTGCAGTCCTGATGGAGTGGGGTCAAGTAATAAGGTTCCTTAGGTTCAGGTCAAGCCAGAAGCTCACATGGAAGCAACTGGAAGGTGTCTCAAATATTTTGTGACTGCAGAATCTGAGTGTAGAACTAACTGAAGCATCACACTAAGTCTTCTACTAGGAGTGTGGACCTGTCTTGAACCCTACTGCACACTTCTGATGAGGGGTTCCCTTCCTTCCTGATGGAGCCTGTCCCCTTGTGAGATACCTCAAGTGTCTAGGATGTTCCATGATCTGCTTCGTTTCAGAGGGCCACTCCAGCAAGATGACTTTGCTCTCTGTATCCATAACAATTCTTCAGAGTTGTAAAGATGGGTGGCCAGCTGCCTGAGTTTGTTAGTTTCCAGGCTGAGCACAGCAGGCCTTTCATCTATCTCTCCAACCCTAAACTTCAGAGTGCTTTTCTAATTCAATTGTGATACTATTTTTTAGCAGTCATAGCAAATAAGACAGCCATCTTTCTGTGTCAGCCAGATGATGGGTATTAAACACCCAAAGGAATCTCATGGAATAAATGTAAAAATGATTCTCAGATCCACAATACAGTGCAATCTAATTCTCTACCTACATTACCTCTTAAAAAGCATCTGAAACCACTCATTACCTTTGTCCCTGAAAATTCATGTTTAATTCCTAAATCTCCACTGCCTCAGATGGTGACTGTATTCAGAGACAGGGATTTTTTAATATTTATTTTTTAATTGTAGTTGGACACAATACCTTTATTTTGTTTATTTTTATATGGTGCTGAGGATTGAACCCAGGGCCTTGCATATGCTAGGTGAATTCTCTACCACTGAGCCACAACCTCAGCCCCAAGAGACAGGGTTTTTAAAGAGGTGATTAAACTGAAGTCACTAAAGTGGGCCCTAATGCAGTGTAATTGGTGCCCTCATAAGAACAGGAGATTAAAACACAGCACACAGGAAGAAAATGACCATCTACAAACCAAGGAGAGAGGCTTCAGGAGAAATAAAATACCTTACCCACACATTGATCTTAGACTTCCTGCCTCCAGAACAACTCTGTTGTTTAAAGTACCCAGTTTGTGGTACTTTGCTGTGCTATCCCTACCCCACTCCCATATCCATCTAATCACCAAATCCTCTAGACCCCTAGATACTGCTTCATAAAGAGCTCTAAAATCTTCCTTTACAAATCCTGAAAGGTTCTGATGGATAGAAATTCTTATGGGGACAGTTAAACAACAGAGAGGGTCAAGGTGATAGTGGTCACATGTCTACAAATCATTATGGAGCTCGAGTTGGGGGATTACAATGGAATTAGGAGAGCTGGAATAGACCCTAGGGGCCCAGGAAGTGACCTGTGGGGACAGATGCTCTCCCCTTCTGGCTTCAGAGGTCTTTCAAGGTGGCATAGAGGTGCATCTCTTAGCAGACCTGAGTTTGGGCAAAGCTGTCCATCCAGGTAGGTGCTTTTAACAACAGCAACAACAGGGCAGTGGCGCTCTCTGTGGGACTCAGCACCATTCAGTGAGAAGTACAAGGAGGTATTGATTGTTCCTCATCCACAGACAAGAGAGCACCATTATCTCCCTGGACACTTGGGACTCAGAAATCAGGGCAATCACAGTCCCACCTGGAGTGAGATCAGCAGGACTCAGACTGCACCTGCCCTGTCACACCATTTGCTGGACCCTCCCTGGTTGGCAGGCCCAGCTGGCCAGGCTAGTGAGAAACCATCTGACCAGCTCACAGCTCTTGGCACCCACCTGGGCTCCCGGCTCCCGGAGGGGCTAGGTACACTCGGCATGCGCTTGATCCAAATCGCCCGAGACACTTGGGTTCTGCCTCCATCAGCACTGGCAAAGAAGGCAGCTGTGAGCAGCACTGGGGACTGCGGAGCCTCCTTCCTGGGCAGTTTGAACTTGGCCAACTTATAGGCATGCCATGAGCATGCTTAATAATGGAAAACTATGGCCATAGTAGCTGGCCTTTTCAAACCCTAAAGATGATACTTTTTCTCAGGACATTTTGCCACCACCAGGCTCAGCAGTGCAAGAGTTAAGGTGACACAGATAAATACTAAACAGACAAGAGCCAAGCTCACTCTCCCTGGAGGCCACACTGTTTTGCTCTTTTAAATCCTGGGACATTCAACCAGATGAGCCCTTACTGATTTCTGCACCCCATCCTGCCACTGGGCACCTGGGGACAGTGACCCTGGGGGCCAGAGGGAAGTGGCCTGACAGAGATTCTCCAGTTACTGAGAGGCAGGCAGGCCCAGCAGTGATCATCCCCAGAGAGAGACTAGTGATTCATTACCTGCTCAATCCAGGAGTAGGTCTTGATAGAGCAGGTGGCTCCTGGCTCCTCTCAGAAGACCCATCCTCATCTATCACCTCAACCCTGTGGACAAGAGGAAAAGTTGTGCTTATGGTTTTCTTGACTGTCCTGGAGTTTGCTGGCCTTTGAAGGACATGCTTTCAGTGATGTCCAATTGAGATGATGATGAGGTGGTTCAGGCTTGAGGTCTCAACCATTCCAGCTCAAGATAAGGACAGCATATGAGGTTGAATAGTATTCTCCCCAAATTCATGTGCCCTGGAATTTGTGGCTATCATTGGGAAAAGGGTCTTTGGAGATGTAATCAAGGTAAGATGAGGTCACATTGAGTTAGGGTGGGTTGTAAATCCAATGACGAATGTTCTTCTAAGACAAGAAAAATCTGGACCCAGACACAAAAAAGAAGGCCATGTGAATACAGGCACAGACCTGAGTGAAGCAGGTACAATCTAAGTCATGCAGGGACTGCCAGCAGCCACCAGAAGCTTCTCCTTCAGCAGCTCCAGAGAAAAAAATCAAACCTGTCAACACTTTGATATCAGAGACTAGTCTCTGGAACTATGAGAGAAGCTATTTTGGCATTTTAAGACAGCTAGTTTGTGGTACTTTGTTACAGCAGCCATAGGAAACTAATACAGCCAGCAAGAACATGCCATTATGTCATGTCCTTTGTGTTTCTACTACTCCCTGCTCATTGCATTCCAGTAAGCCTTTCTGGTCATTCAACACAGTGAGCAGAGGGTGGGAACAGCTTTGCACTTGGCATGCTGGCTCTTCCTTGTTTGTCAGTTCTCAGCCTGTCATACCACCTTATCTTGAATGCCTTCTCTGTCCACTCAACCAAAGATCCCTAAAATTCAACTTTCCATAAGTTTCTTCCCTACCCTCCCTCCAATATTTTTTCTCCCCACTCAGCTGGACTGTCCAGATAATCTGACATCCTGACCATTCTGTTTCTCCTTTAGGACCCATCTCCAATGTCATAATCACCTCTCAGGGAATTTTTCCTGGTGGCCCTGATCCTGGGTGAGAGCAAAGAACTCTTCCTGGGGTCAACTGAAGGAGGGAGCCAGGGTCCCTCCAAGGGCTGGCAAGCCAGGAATTCTGAGTCACAAAACTCTGGAAAGGAGGTGAAGGGAACAGCTCCTTTGTAATCTTTAGGTAGTTTGACTTCAAATCCCCAGAGGACCTCACAAATACTATAGCTCCATCTTAGGTGTCATTAGCTATTGGCAAATGGAAGAACTCACCCATAAGCCAGGTTGCTGCCTTCACAGAACTGGCTATTAGGACCACATGTACCTCCACAGTCAATAAGGTGTTTGCCTGGCTTCTGGACAGAAGCCTGATGCCTCTCACATCTCTGCTTGGGAACAGCAGTCCCCCACCCTTACCTCCCCTCTCCCTATATTCCTGCTGAAAGGAGGCTTTCTCTCTGTGGCCAGCAACAGGCTTCCAAGGCTTCCTTGGATGAAACTTACCTTTTTGCAATAAAAGGGGCCTGAGTCTCCTGGGTAGGACTTCTGGAAAGGAATCAGAAAGGTGACATATTGGTCAGAGCCCATGGACAGAAGACAACTCAATCACTCTACTCTAGAGAGTCTTGAGACTCTCTCCTATTCCCAGCACCTCACCTGCCCTTATGGCAGCAGCCAAACCCCCCAGTTTCTTTAGAAAATACATATGAGAATCTGAGAAAGTCTAGCTAGGAGGGCCCTTGGGAGTATTCTTTCAATTCACCCTTTCACCAGGCCAAGGTACCCTGAGAAGAGGGGAACTATTCCACAACATGGAGCCAGTTGGCGGCCATGCCAGGCTCAGAGACCAGGCCTCCTGCCCTGCTGGGTTCCCTGATGTGCAACTCACCCAGTGCTCTTCTTGACTGCTGACAGGACGTAGGAATGCTCCCTGGGAGCTGTCTTCCTCACCACACTGCTTGCAGCCTCTGATCTGGGGCAACATGGGGTGGGGGACAACTGATGGGTGTCAAGCTGTACACACTCTGCCAGCCTAACCAGGGATGTCCTCAAGATGACTAGGAACCACCCCAGAGAGGTGAGGAGAAGCCAATGTAGCATATGCTACAAAGACTATTCAAAGGAAACATGGAAACTGAGGGAAGGACAGCTATGTTTACTGAGCACACACTGTGTGCCCAGCCCTGCCCTCGATGCTGACATCACCATATTTGCTCATTAATCTTCCTAACTCAGAGAAGAAGGTGCTAATATCCTACCATGATTTCCAGATGAGGAAACTGAGGCTAGACAGCTCTAGTTACTTGCCCAAGAGTACACACCTAGCAGGTGGAAGAGCAGGCATTTAATACTAGGCAGCTTCAGAACTCCTGGTTCTTTGAGCTGCACTCCCCAGGCCTGAGGACTCATGCCTTTATGGCTGCCCATCTTTCAGAACCTTCAGCAAGAGGACTTTTCTGTGTTTCCTGAGCTGCAAATGGGTTGGCAGAAGATGGCCCACAGCCAGGCCTGTTTGTGGGCAAGGGACATTTGAAATTATGGAGCCCATCCCCTGCCTTCTAAGTGTGCATAACTTACTGGGACTTTGTATGCATAGCTCACACATAGAGAGAACTGTGCAGGTGGCCACTTGGCCTCTTCCAGGGATCCTACCCTGCAAATTTTTATCCAATTTTCTCAGGACCTGTTCTAACAAAATGGTTTAAAGTCCTGAAGAGCCCAGAAATGACTTTTGCCTGGGCCTGCATTACCTAGGTTCTACCCAAAAGCAAGTGCTTTAGAGGGCCTGCTGAGCTGGTAGTTAGTTCTCAGCTGGTCCAGCACTGAGTGAATAGTTCTCAGACTCATGGAATGACAGCTATACCCACACCCCACAAACCTCCAAAGATGGCCTAAGTTTGGTATGTTGAGTGAAGACTGAGGACCCTGCCATGCCTTGAGGGGCACCATTACCTCCGTTTCTGCTCATCTGAAGAGACGGGAACTTCTTCCTCTTCCACCTCCCCTGATGTGGAGCTGCGCCTGATGTTGTATGGTGCCCTGGAGGAAGAGAAGAAGTGGTTACAGCTCTTCTACCTCCATACCACACCCCACACTCCCTGTCATATTCCTCTCCAGTTCAAGCCTCATCACTTCCCCAGAAAGATTTTCCAGGTGCTCCATGACACTGGCTAATGGGGACAAAGGACAAACAATATAAAAATGTGGGGCCTCTGGGGAACCTATGTCCAGAGCCCCCCTCCCTGGCAAGGGTAAGAGTCTTGAAAGGGACCTCAAGGAGAGCTCCAGTGTGGGATGCCAAAGAATTACACCCAAGAAATAACTCAGCTTTAGGCACAAAATTCCCACACTGGTAGGCTGCTAGAGCCAGCAGCATCCCAAGGAGCATTGGGCTCCCAGCCCGGTACAACCCAGACTGAGTCCATGGCCCAGACTGGTATAAGGGGCATGCCCCAAAAATACAAACAGCCAGCAGCAGCCCCATAGCCACAATTCATGATCCTTTCTCCAGACCTATGTACTCCTCCTAGAAGCTTCCTGCAGACTGTGCTTTGCCTCAGATCAGAAACATATTATGCATGCTCATGCAATTTTCTGGGCCTTTGTCACCTCCTGGTGGGCTCCAGGCCACAGCCACAACTGTCAGGGGTGTTGGGACAGTCAAACTAGCTCTCCCTAGGCTGTGCTTAGAGGAGAGTGGCCAGCTATCCTCAGCAGGTCCTATGTTTGGGTTGGAAATTGCATACTCACAGCTTCTTGTAATCCTCAGTGGTCATCTTGTAGCCAGAGGAGGTGGGGCGGGGAGGGCCAGTGGTAGCTGCTTTCCCCAGAGCGGCAGCGCTGTAAAGGCCAGGAGTTTCCATGTGCCCACCCAAAATCCCATTCCTATCCCCAGATTTGCCTACACAGCCCAACATGCATGAGATGGGTGGCCCAGGGGGTCACTGGGAGCTTTTGTTTTTAATTCAGTACTGCCAGACACCCTGAGTAGGCAGCCCTTCCTGCCATAGGCAGACCCCACTGAACCTCAAAGAAAAACCCAGTGGGTTCTTGCCTGTGTTTTTCTTCCTACTCCAAGTCCCCTTGGCCTTTCCTTTCCAATGGAGCCCCAGTTCTGCCTGATGCCTGGTTGTTTAGTTAATATGCCCCCTCAGCCTGCTAGGAAGACTAAAGCACACAGCCCAATGTGGTCAGCAAGTACGAGGTACCAACTGCCAAACCAGGGGTTCTCTGGGCCCAGCTTTCCCAGTATGTTCCCTGTGCCTTTCTGCCCCAGTAAACAGAGCGAGCCAGGATAGGCGCTGCCCCTTGCTTACAGGCAAAGCCCTATCCCTGCCATGGATCTGGAGCAGGCCCTCACACTTTCCCAGTGGCCAACTGGCCAGTGCCCTATGGACATACCTTTTTGGAGCTCCATTGGCTTTGGGGAAGTGCTGCTGGGCATGAGATGAGCTGTCGATGGGTTTGGTGAACACACCCCTACAAGAGAACCCAGGAGATGATGAGAAGTCAAGGAGCAGCACAGGTGGTATGGGGATGCAGGTGCATGTCACTTACCGGATGATATAGCCAGTGGGAGCTCTTGTGCTTGGAGCCCTGCCAAGGGAAAAGGAGGTACAAAGTGAAGCAGGGCCTTGCTGGAGGCTTCAGGCTCCCTGCTTCATTCTGTCTCCACCTATAGCAAAGTAGGCTGGCTGGTAGGTATCCCAGTGTAGCACACATGAGCAGAGGTAGCCACTCCCATTTTCCTGGCCAAGGTACTTACTCTGTTGTACCCATTTCCAGGGATGGTGGGGACTATAAGTTCTAGGCTCAGGGACAGGAGACAAACGCACCTACCTCCTAAGCATCTTCCTTATAATTGGGCAAGGAAACAAGGACTCAAGGCAGATGATACCACTGTCCAGGAATAGAGGGGCTTTGGGTTAGAGCAGTGGGGTCAGGTTTAAGGGTAATAAAGAGTCCCAGAATCCTCCATCCCTACAGACTCTTTGAAGGGACAGGTTCCTGGAGGTGGCCAAGTTGCAGGAACACAGGGTGACACCTATTCCAGCCACACAAGCATCTCTGACTGGGGCCTTTTGGCAGGCTTTATGTAGACTTCAAGATAGCACCATTACTTTTTTTAACAACTTTTTAGTTGTCAGTGGACTTTATTTATTTATATGTGGTGCTGAGAATTGAACCCAGTGCCTCACACATGCTAGGCAAGTGCTCTGCTACTGAGCCATAACCCCAGCCCCAAGGTAGCACCATTCTGATCCCTGATGCACAATACCCTAGAATGTGCTTTCCAAACATACCCCAAACCACAGGCTGGGGTGAGAACGGCATCTTCCAAAGTCAAAAAGCTCCATAAGAAGTTGACTATCTTTGATGACTCTCAAACTCATCAATGTCATCCACCATACTTGTCTCAACTTACAATTCTCTCTTTTGCATTCATCTGTTAGGTATCTATGTCCCTTGCAGGAATGTGAGTTCCCCTCAGGAAAAGGCCTAGGTCTTGATAACTACTATAGCCTCTGGGCCCAGCACAGGACCTGGCAGTTTTGGGGCACTGAGCAAGACTATAACCAGAGATCACCCCATGCATCAGCTGCTGCCATTGCCTGTCACCACCTGAAAATCCCCTGCTCTGCACATGCTGTCAACTGCCAGCAGTTTGGGTCAAGGACCACCCAGTTTATTTCTTGGTTCCCATTTCTCTCATGATCAGTTCCTCCAGATGCTAGCAGGATGAGCTCACACTTCAAAGCCCCCTGGACATTGTTATTGAAAATTCCTCAAAATAGAAAGAGGCCAGTTCCACTGACCAGCTGGAATTATGACCTTGGGGGCAGTTGAGGTCAAACATATAAGCCTCCCCTGCAGGAGTGAGTCACATGTGACTCAAAGCTGCCTGAGCACCTCAGAGATGTTATCTCATTCCCTGAAGGAGGAGACAGAATAATAGTCTTCTTTTGAATGACAATTTCTATCCCAGTTGGCAGCTGGAGCCATTGGAGCCATGGAAGCTCTCAGGGGTGTCAGCTAGCCCTATGACCCCACAGCAAGGCCAGGAGCCTGGACCATTGACTCCTACCCTCCCTTTCCCAAGAGGAAAGCACAGCAGAAGAGCTCATCCTTCCTGTGGATTTTAAATGATACACTACAGGTCTTTCATGCTCCTTTTATCTTGGGCTCCCTATCTATCCCCTATTGTCCTACTACAGGGCCAGCCACATGCTGCAGGTGAGTTCCGAGGGCCCACCTATGAGCCACCTTGGCTCCACCTCTTACCTGGCCTTTGAGACCTCCCCAGCTGATGAAAAGGATGTGGCTCGATTCCGACCTGCAGGCAGCTCTCTGGGGAAAGAGGGATCCTGAAAGAATGCCTCCCAACCTCCATGCCCCCTGCCACTCTGCAGTCTCCATCCTAAAGGATGCCTGCAGTGCCTCACCATTCTCACCTCTCCTTCTCCTACCCCAGCCTTCCTCCACAGATGTGTGTACACACACATGCCCCAGTGCCTGAGAGCTTTGCCATCTTTAGACTTTGCTCAGATCTTACCTTTAGCTGCTTTGACTTTCCCATGCTTCATCCTCCCTGTATATTCTATGGCCATGTGGCCTGACTGAGCTCTAAATGCTGGAAGCCTCTCAGCATCCCCAGGTCTGGTCAGGCCCCATGAATTACAACCCACCCCCACCTGCCCCAGTTGCTGCCATCCCTTCTGGCTTCCTAGACTTACATGGTACGGCCCTCGGATTCATCCTGCTTGGTGATCCAGCTCTTGTCCCCCTTCAGTGTGGTGCGTACTTTCATCTGCTTGAGGACATTATTGCGCTCCTCCTCGCCTGGTGGCAAAGACTTCCCTGGCAGGGCCAAGGCCAAGCAGCCTCAAAAGGGGATCCCATGTCCAGGACCCTGAGGCTTCCTTTCCAGCCCTCCCAATATGCTGCTCTCCCTTTGTTTTCCAGGCCGCACTCACAGCCTTCCTGGGGAACATGTGGAATAGGGTGGGATACATGGAGCCCAAGCCTCACCTTTGGTGCTGCCTCCCAGAGCGGAGATACTCATGGTGCTGGCTCTGCAGGTCCTCTCTCAGTTGAGTCAATAGTGCTCCTGAGAAAAAGGCAAGCACATGTTTGTCACTTCATGCATCTGTAATGGCTGTGGGTCACACTACAGTTTTGATGGGGTTTGTCCCCCAAGGGTTCATGTATCGAAAGGTTGGCCACCAGAGTGGCAATGTTAAGAGGTAGTGGGACCTTTAAGAGGGGATGCTTAATGGAAGGCAATGAAGTTATTAGGGGTATTGCCCTAGGAAGACGTTGATGTAATTCTCATGGGACACTGGTTTTTTTTTTTTTTTTTTTTTTTTTTTCTGGTGAGAGGGTTGTTATCAAAGAGCAAGCTTGCCTCAGGCCTGATCTCACTCTGGCTTCCTGTCTTACCATGGGAGCTCTTCCTGTCACATGCTCTCCTGACACTGATGCCAACAGCCATAAGGTCTTCACCAGAGCCAAGCTGATACCAGCACCATGTCCTTGAACCTCCAGAACTGTGAGCTGAATAAACATCTTTTCTTTATAAAGCACCCAGCCTCAGATATTTCATTATGGTAACAAAAATGGACTATTCCAGTAGCCATATTGTCCCTAGAATACCAAGATCATTCAGACTTTTGAGGGTGGCAATTGTTGGTGGATTCCTGAATGAAGGACAGTGGCCAAGGAGCAGGTACTCACTGGACCTGCCATTGCCAAGTAGCACACCCTCCTGTCTGCCTAGGGCTGCTCACCTGGATAACATGGAGCAGTGGTCTGATAAGGATAGGCCATGAAACGTTCTAGATTGCTAATGGCCAGTGTCTGGCCCCAGGGAGTTTGGGGTTCAGAAGGTGGAACTAGTGCACATTTCAGGCAGAACTCCTTCAGGGCAGGCAGTTGGCCTTGGGGAGAGCAAGGGCTTGGGGGACCAGCGGATTGGATTATCTTCTTACCACTTAGTAGCTGTCTGAGAGACCCTGGAAAGGTCCGCTAATCTCTTTGAGTTGCCTCAGTTTCCTCATTTGTAAAATTGGAGTTAAAACATCTTCCTTTCGGGATTGCTATGAGAACAGGAAAGATCACTAACATCCCTGGGCATTTGGACAGAAGCCAAGTAGCATGAACTTTCAACCTGTCTCTGCTGGAAGAGGGATAGTTAGGAATCTCCAATCAGTACAAGGATGGTTTGGAGATGTGCAACTCTCTTTGTTCAGGTTTTGGCTCCACCTACAGTGAGGAAAGCCTAGGGACCCATTGCTAACTCCTAGTGGCCCTTGGGACCAGATGAATGTGAAGATATGGCAAGGGCATCCACTGACCCCCCTGGCTCACACCTGCCTTGTGATCTGTTCTCCCTCCTTGCTTCCTCTCTAGCCTGCAGGTAGGGCCAGTGAAGGAGGGCTGTGGTGTCATAAAGGCCTTCACAGTGTCATGAGGCTTATTTACATAGAGGACAGCCTAGAGTAAGGAGCTCTCTAGCCTGGAGTGAGCAGCGCTGTGGGGAGACAAACGGCCCAGGCTGTGGGTCTGGCTCTTGCTCTTGGCAGGCACTGGTGACCCTTTGGGCCTCAAGGGAGGGGCTGGGGTGCTCAGGTACATGGACAGGACATGAAGCAGGGGCTGGCTGTGCTGGCATAATCCTGAGGCAGAACAGCCTTCCTCTCCAGGGTCTGCCACCTTCTGGGCTCCTCCAGGGCTAGGCTCTGACCAGCTCAGCAAAAGTGCCAGCTGGCAGGACCCAGACATGTTTCCGTGGAAGTCAGGGGCACACTAAAAGGGGCAGGGCAGGGGGCCAAGAGCAAACCAAATTTACCACGTCAGCAAGGGCTGGCTCTCCCACAACGAAAGAGCACTCCAGGCAGCCTGAGCCTGCTGCATGCCAGGAACGGCACCTCATCATGGCAAATGGGAGTCCCACGTGCCCAGCCCTGCACCGAGGCTGCCACGTCAGAATTCTATTGAGTGGAGCTCATTCCATAGGAGATCCTATTACTGCAGAGGTCCAGTTGTCCCCATCCCGCAGCCTGTGGTAGAGTTGGTGCCTGCAGGCAGGCCCACATAGTCTGAACTCTTGGTTCTTCCATCTCCTGATGCCACTGACTATGAAACCTTTGGAGAATCCCTTACCTTCTGTGGGCCTCCTACAAGTGAGGTGAAGGTCATCCACAGCTTTTGAAGCCATCCCAGCCACACTACTAGGCCCAGAAACTCATTAGTTTCCCTCATTGCCTAGAAGTTTCCTGCCAAATCAGAACCAAATAAGCTACTTCTCCAATCAGGATGGAGTCACACATGTGCAGAATGACAGAAACAGAGGGGCCATTGGCAACTCCCCAGCCAAAGGGGCAGAGACATCTGCCAAAGACCAGGGCTGACACTTCTGCATCGGCTCCTTTCCTTCAGACTTGGCTGCATCTCAGAAGTCAGATTTCTTTTATGATGGGTCACTAAATCTGAAGAGTCAGAAAGATCACTGCCAAAGTACACTAAAGAGTGGGGCAGCTCTTTGGGTTGGGAGCTTTTAAAGTGATGAGCCTCGCCAGGTGGATTGACAAATGGGGTTTGTGTCTATGTCTCAGACAGAGAACTGGCAGCTTCTTCTACAGTTTCTCCCCTCCCCAGCCTTGGTTCAGGCCAGGATCACTTCCGACCTCCTCCCAGCTTCTCTTGCCTTCATCTGCATCTCCTTCCAGCAACACTCATTTGCCTCTAATCCCACTTGGCCACATCAGTCCTTGTTTCTCACTCACTTTCTGATAGTTCCCCACTGCTTCTAAGACTGAAGGCAAACTCATCAATCCCTTGATCTGGCCTCTTCACTCACCAGCCCTCCTCAATGCCAATATCGTGCTTCAAGAAGACCAGGTGCCTCAGAGTCCCTGGATGGTATCTCTCCTAAAATAATTTCATCTATCCTTGCTTATGCTGGTTCCCCACCTGGAGGCCCTCCCAGTTCCTCCTGTGTCTCCCTAAGGACTCAGCCCATCCAGTCAACCCTGCTCCTACTGGGTACTCCCACCCTAAGTCCCAAAGCCATGCAGACTTGAGCACCTTAGAGCTGCTGACCCAAGTCTTTCCAGATAAGACCTGCCTCTCCAGCAGCATCATAGAGGACAGAATCCAGGTACCCCTCACACCCAGCCTTCACAGACTAGCACCCAGCTGCTGGAGGGTGGTGCCCTAGTGGAAGTTGGGAGCTTCCTTCTGTAGCTGTGAGCAGTTTTGGTAAATAGGTGGCTTATCACTCAGACAGTGGGGAGTCATGGGCCTCCTGTACATGCTATTGGTGGGAAGGTGAACTAGTGTTTCCCCAGCAGCAATCTAACCTAAGGAAGAAACTGCACAAGTTAAACTAAGAGGTACACATGAAGGGGACAATCCCAGTGTGGAGTGTGATGGTGAAAACTTGGCAATAATTTAAAAGCCCAATAGTTGATTCAATCAAGCAAACACTAGGAAGCTATTACAACTTATACACAGAGTATTTAACACGCCTTCATAAGCACTCAGTCTTCCATATCCACAGGTTCCACATTTGTGGATTGAACTTCCTTCAGATCAAAAACACTAAAAAAAAAATGCTGTACTGAAAATGCACAAACTTTTTTCCTTGTCCTTTTCCTCCTGTAAACAGTATAACAACTGTTTACACAATGACATTATATAAGAAAAATTCTAGAGATGATTTAAAGGATATGGGAGAATGTAGATAGGGTATACAAATACTATTCAATTTTATATAAGGGACTTGAGCATCTACAGATCTTGATAGGGGTTCATTTGACACCTGATCTGTGCAGTGGTTGCAGCAGTAGCAGTGGCAGCAGAGGCACCCCTCAGAGGAGAAAGGCAGCTTCTTCACTCAAACATGCAAGGGGGCACACTGAGACATATGGAGTTAGAGTGAACATGATGCCCCCTGAAGGCTCCTCTCCCTGCTGACCAACCTGGTCATCAGCACATTTCTACCTTGATTGGGAAAAGACGCTGGTCTTTTGAGAGCTGCCATATCACTGCTCAGGGCCTCGCCTGGATGATCAAAGGAACAAGTAACTGACTCCTTCCACACCAGCTGTCCCCCATGACATACCCCTGGAGCCCCATCAGAGGTAGCCAAGGGATCAATCAGGGGAAGTGTCCTTGGCAGGGCTGGGTGAGGGAGATGGGAATTCAGATAGCCTCAGTGCCAGTGAGCATGCTTTCTCTCCACCTTCCTCCCTGCTGTTGTGGCTTCTTTAGGGAAGGGGCCCTCGCCCTGATTGGATAGGTAGAGACAAGGAACCAATGAATGGGGCTGCAAGTCTGATGCCATCATATGCTGTCAGAGGGGAGTCAGAATGAGAGTGACACACGCAGGAGGTAACATGCAGATTAAAGCCCACTGGAGGTCGTCAGGGGCATCTGCAATGACACAAATGCTTGGCTGCCGCATGAGGACACAGAGATGGAGACAGAAGCAGAAGGGGGTACCTTGTCACCTCAAAAGGACATGCTCTGCCTCCAAAAGTAACTCAGAAAAAGTTTTGTAGAGTTCCCCCTGCCACTTGGTTCCCCATGGGGCAGGGGCAACTCCCAGAGGACCTCTTATATCCTACAGCTCCCTGGCTCAGGAATACAGCTGAGCCCCACTCTTGATCATACTATACTAAACATGTAAGGAAGAGGAAACCACAGGAGAAAAGGGACATGTGTCTAGGGAGAGAGATCAAGTAGTCTGAGGGGCCAGCCTCCAGACCAAGCACAGGCCTCTTCCTGCTAGACGCTGAGCAGGACCTCAGGGGGTATGTACATAGAGGAACATCTGTCCTAGTGGCCTTCTCAGGGTCACCCCATCCTGGGGCCCTCACTCAAGTTCTGCTGCTGCCTCCATGCCATCACGCCCAAGATAAAGAGCCCCTTACTTCCTGGGCACCCCCTTCCATAGCTGGAATGGGCTGGCCTCTTGCAAAGAACTGCAGTAAACACAGAGGGAGGGACAAGAAAGCTAGGCCTGCCCAACTGATAGCTAGCCCTCAATCCCACCAGGCCCATGCCAGCCCCTAG